GTGGTTATTAACAGTAAAGAGAAATTTTTTCAAAAATTAAAAGTCGAATATATTGTTGATATCACAATATAATTAATAAAATGTTTAAATTAAATCTAATCCCAATAAAAGAATCTATAAATACAAGAGAAATTAACAAAAATAAAAGTAATTTACAATTTATTTTGCCATTTTTGTTCTTCAACATTCCACAATTCATATTTAACATCTTTAACCTTCTCGCAAGCTTGCTTCACCAGATCCTTATTTAACTCTCTATAAACCTTTAGAACCAAATTATTCAAAGATTTTACATCTACCGCGTATTCTATAATAACTTTTAAATGTTCGTTATTAAAACAATTCGAAGTACTAATTTCCAAAGTTTTCAAATTAATTCCACCATTTTCATTCAAAGAACTTAAAAAGACTTGTAAATTTGAAGGGGAGAAAACGTAATTTGAACCTCTTATACCAAAATGTTTCAAATTTGGTAACCTAAAATTAGTTAAACTCTTTAATAATTCGTTCATCCCATGAGAATTTAAACTTTCTAATTGACAAAGAATAAAAGTTTCTAATTTCTTGCAATTTTCGAAAACTGAAAGAAGTTGAGAAATTTCAGTTTCATGAAAAGAAGTTTTAAGATATTTAAGATCAGGAAATTTGTTTGCCACGGAACCAAACATTATAGTTGAATCATCAGGAGATTTTGGATCTTGAATTTTTCTTCCAAGATCAAGGTATTGTAAATTTCTAGAAGAAGCGTTTAAAATGTATTTCATAATTTGGGGTTCAACATAAGAATTACTCATATCGAGTATTGAAAGAAAAGGGAATTTTAAATGAACAGGGGGGTGAGGCTCAGGAGTTAATTCGAAAACTAATTGGAAATGACAAGAATCACAATGTAGTTTTTCGAGCATCCTTAAAGGAGCGAGGATAGGTAAAATCTCCCAACCATAAAAGAAAACACCGACGAAACTTAAAGAACGTAGAGAATTTGAATGAAGATGAATAGCAGAACAAATAGCTTGTAATCCAGCGGGAAAAGTATGTAAAGAAAGGTGAGTGAGACGTTTTTGAGATTTAATAAGAG